TACTGCTCCGGACTTTTCTAATTGAAGATATGTTTAACCAAATCATTTGACAATCAAAACAATTCAAATATCGTATTCACGGAAGCAAATGTGTATAAGGAATATTTATTTGTTAAACAGATAACAATATAAATAATCGCTATAGCTTGACAAAATATTTCTTATGAAAATTTGTTTTATGCATTACTATACTTCATGACAATACAGCAATACGTTTTCCGCACCTTGAAGTTATTTATTCAATGAAAATATCTTGAATTCTGGAAATATGTTATTGACTTGCACTTAATAAATTTCCATACATCTTTTTGATTGCGCAAATGAAGGCATTCATTAATGTCCCTGGTTAATCAAGAAATCAGTCGTTAAGTTGAATAATTCAATCATTGTATGTACTTATTATATTGAAAACAGGACATTAATCACCAGCATTCACTGATTGATTTCTTAGAATTATTCTGCTTTAAATAGTCTGGATGCAGCTCTTTAATTGCGTTTAGAAAATAACAGTACTTTCCTTCCCCGCGTTCAACGTGAATAGATGTTAACATTTAAATGTTTTCCAAGTGAATGATAAAAATGTGAAGATTCTTGAAACACTAAATTCCCGACAAATGATATGTCATTACGGAATTCAAAAAGTGCATTTTAATTTGATATTAAGACAATTCTATCCGATAGTATTATTGTCTGCAAATAATGACATATTCATCCCTCAAATGTTATGTCAACTTAGTTAATTTGTTACAGGCGTTCTTTCAAGATTGCTTTCTATTTATTTATATTATACCTCATTTGCATACGCCCTTCTATATTTAATATGACGTCATCCGGTCCATAAACCGCATACAGACCGGGGCCGGTCCATAATTCTTATGAAAACCGTTTCAACATAACTTTCACGAAGTGCAAATTTCACGACGACACAAACAGACGATAACTGTCAAAATGGCCAAGGCTTAGCCGATTCGCAATCATTATCTGAGACCGAGTTAGTTAAAACTCAGTGAATCTAAGGCATTCGAAAACACAAAAAAAGCAGCAACAAAACATTCAGTAAAGCTGTTCAGGACATATCTGGCTGAAAAAGGGCACGATTCTTCCTTTGAAACTTACACGAACGGGGTTCTGAACAGTCGACTGCGTTTGTTCTACGCCGAGGTTCGAAATGCGTCTGGAGAACGATATAAGAGGACATCCCTGATTGCAATACGAAGTGGGATATGCAGGTAATTAAATTTTTTTCTTTATTTGTTAAATATTTTTAATGTCTATTTTAAAATTTTTGCAATATTTTATTTTTCGTCCCCAAGGGACCATTTAGAAAACAAGCGGACTTTGGCCCTCACATTGTTGCAATAATTTTGGTTAAAAATTAGGGATTAGACAGAAAAGTCTAACAATATACTTAAATGACATGGCTTTGAGTATGTTGTATGCAGGGCTTTTTTTTTGGTAAAAAAATATTAGTAGGGTCCCAGTCACCCATGACTGCTGTCAATAGGCCCATAAGGATTTTGTGTAGCTATATAGATTACTGAAGAAATTGGCAGTTTTACAGTCTTGGCCCTAAGATAATAGATCTTAATAAAAGCTGCGCTTCGGGCCATATGCCTTCCTCAGTCTGACCAACCAGTCCGTAAACTTGCATATTGCCCTCAAGGCCATGTTTTATTTGTTAAATAATTCAATGCAAACATACCCTTTTCAAGGAAAAACAGTACTACGCATATATTAAGAATTTGATATATAATCATTAATATATATTAAATGTTAAACGTTATATTCTTCATTCGCATAGGCAAAATAATCATATATTTATTGTCATTGATAAACATCTTCTTACAAGATGTATGACTAACAAATCCAAATAATATCCCTCTGAAATTCCTCCTGTCAAATAAACAACTTTAAAGAATGGCGGCCGCTTACATTTCACAGAATAAAACGAATAATATTAATGCCATTTAACGAACTTATTTTTCAGCCCAAAACTTCTTGTATTTTATGAGAAATTCGACTAATAGAGGCTTCCAGTGGGGAAAACAGATACAAATATTTAAGTAAATATCAAGGAAATTTTGTTTTAACTTGTTTTTAAGCATAACATAAAAATGTGTTTGTTGTGTAAGATGTAATTTAATTTCATCCTGTTAGTTTTAAAAACAGTATTCTCAAAAAGCGTAGCCAGACACAAACATATATCCTCTATTTAATCTAGAGAACAAATAACTGGTGTAAAAAATAAGATGTTTTTTCTTTCAAGATGCTTTCATTCAATAAATAGTGGTATATATGAAATTTAAATAATAACATATTAATATATTCTCTGATTTATTCATTGTAAAAAGAAAACAATGTTTTTGTTAAGCTATAATAGTTAATTTATTGAGACACTTTTAAGAGGGCGCGTAATAAAACTGAAAATGTGGTTAATATTTGACGGAGAAAATTGTTTTGTTTTCAAAGTCGTAATGATGTTTGTTATCGCAAAGAAATTATTAACATCTCGGCAAAATGTTCAGAATACTCATAATTTATTTAAAATCAAATGTTTTAAATTAAAGTATGATTCGCTATCTGAACAGATTGACACGTCGTATTATTAATAAACGGGTATGAAATCAGAGATTTTTCTTCCTGTTCAATACATCAAAGATTCATTCATTTTCAATTCTGTAGCAATTATTAGAAAAGAACCACAAATGAATGAACAAGGTGTTATTATCTGGACTACACAATGTTATAAACGTTCAGTATCGAGTTTCCTTTGATTTACATTCATTTGTTCTAGCTAAACATTACTAACGATTCTGTGATTTTAATCTAGCTTAATGAAAGATAACAATCATAATGTGTTTTTTTATTTCACTTAACAGTTGTTATTGGATGGCTTTTTGTCTTAAGCACTAACGTGACAGTGCGTTTTTAGCTAAACTTAATATTAATTAGTACACACTTGATGAGAGTCGGTTTCTGTTCTTTGTAATTGCGCATTTACAATTGTTAATGTATGCGTAATGTAAACAACATGGAAAAGCTTTATGATTAAATTCAACAGGAAATGAATGTATCTATTATGAAACGTCTGTTTTGCCCATATATAGTTATGTTGATAGTACTGAGTATCATAATGGCAAGAAATCGTCAAGAATTATGTCTAGATGTTGCTGATAATTGCGAGAATAACATATCTATAATAAGTTTAATACAAAACTATTTTTTTCTCATGCGTGTTCATGCTTAACTACCTAAAACAATATAAACTTAATATTCTGCTTTAAAAAGGTACTACAATTTTAACATGAATATTGTATCCAATTAAAAACATATCTATTGTTTTTGTATATCAATATCTAAAATAGAAAAATGTACAAATTAGCCGATTATAGGCAAAACCAAACATGAATTAATTTGAGCAAAGATCTGAAAATATTGTTATGTTGTATAATTTTTTTAGAATATTGCTCTGCTTGTATTTCTAGGAATGCTGCTTATTCAGACAAATAGTATAATTTTTGCAATAAGCGATACTATTCTCTAGTTATTTACCTCATTTTAAAAAGTCAATTATATAAGCCTGATATTAAAACTAAAATGCTGCTACAAATGAAGCTTTGATAAAATTGTGTCCGTATCATTATAAAATTTGTATTTATTTGTTTTCAAATTGTCCGATACACCTTTTTTTCATTGAAGAATGTTAAGAAAAATACTACTTTCTAGAGACATATGTACTTACTTTGTCATGTCTTAATTGTAACAATAATTCCACCGGTTTTTCCTTTAATTTTGTCTTTTCCCCAGGAATCCTTGTGGTAGACTTGCCTGTGTAACTGTGTTCGCCAGGGGCTGCGTTCTGTTAACACCGCCTTGCCTTGTCGCTCTCCATAATAGTCCTTGTATTTCATTTGTACGTGTTTTTTTTTCGTTTAGACATTATTGCACATTCTAAAAATATTGTGTGTTTCGGTGTGGAAAATACGATGGGAAAGATGATACGGATGACACAAACAAATGATTGAAAAATATATTAAATTGTTTTTATACATTTGACATTTTATGTTTTCAAACTCAATTCGCATGTTCTAATTCAAAACTTAAACGTGCTATTTTTTTATTTCAATTAAGATATTTTAAGCCAGAATACCGACGCTATCGTTGTATCTGAACTTCTATATTTGGCAACTTGATTACATCAATGTCCTCTCGCTAAAAGATGAGTTGAAATATTGTTGAGTATGCAAAATGTCAAATTATATCGTTTTTGACTATCAGGAAACATCTTGCTGAGATTTAAGTAATGCATCTGATGGAAAGCGATAAACACTTTATTGGCATGTGTCAGTTGTAGGTATAATGTAGATTTGCAATTCTCCACATGGAATTTATTTAATGCTACACATACCATTAAAACCTAAATATAAAAAAGAGACAAGACATTTAAAACGGATACCAGCTGTCAATCAGTTGCATACTAACATATGATTGTTGTAAAAACTATATGTTGACAATTCATTCAAAATTATCTGTGAAAACATCACACATGACGTCCATGACATTCAATCTAGTGTAAATCCAGTCACGCAAAATCGTCGGTTTTAATGCACAACAGATGTTAATGTTTACTTTACCTGCTTCGCCCGTGCAGTAATTCCGAGGTTTTTTATATACACGTTTTACAGTTTTTATTTATCAGTTACTTTTTATTGGTATTACGTTTCTTTGGACGCTTTTGCTGATGTTCCATTTTATTTTTTATTTTCATTTCTCGAGCTATTTTTCGCTGCTCTTTTTCAAATTCTTGCCTTATTTTATTTTCCTTTTCTTGGGTTTTTTGCTCATATATTTCGTCCGAGGTCAAAAGCCTGTGACTCGTTATTTTTTTCCTGTTTACTTTCTTTTCTGAGGCTGCGGTTGGGGTAGGTAATTCAAAAACACTCTCTACTGATGCCGACCATGTCACTGATGAAGAATTATCGGCGCTATCACCGTCTATTTCACCCTGCTGCTCTTGATGAATAATTAATTGCAATTAAGTCGAGTAATACTTTTGGATCCTCTAAGTCTGAAAAGGAACAAAACAATTAAGTGCATGTCAAACAATATTATTTTTTAAGAATTTGTGTGCGTAATCAAACCTTTCAAACTTATAAAATTTTTGTTTTGCATTCTGAAAATAGATTTACAATATTCATTTCTGTAAGGTATATGTTTTATAGAGATCTCACCTAAAACATTTTGAGGTTCCTGAGAAATATCTCCTGAAAACGTTTCAGCATGAACTACTTCAACCTGATTCTCCTGTGTATCAATAGCAATCTGTACGCATTGAGAAGAACTCGAGCAAGGGCTTGATACTGAAGGTGATAAGACACCACTGTGCTCCTGTTAGACAGTAAGACGAGAATGAAACTGCATATCAAATAAGATACTAGCTTGCCTTTATCTTATATACATTTTGTTTGATCTAAATTATAAATAATTAGTTCGTACATTTTTTAAATGAAAAATTAATGTTCTAAGTTGTTTGTAAATATTTATCAAGGAACAAATATAATTCATGCTGATGATTTGCTATTATGTTTATCATATGTCTTATATTCTAGTTAAACATTCGACTTCAGTACTGCAATAAAATTAAAAGCTAGCAAATAGAGCTGTATGCATAACACGGGGGCTTCAAATTAATATTATAGTCGGCGCATATTTTGTTTGAATTGAATATTAGATCAAATGTCCATATATAAAATACCTTACTGACTAGCATATATAAGAATGTTTTGCATGTTCAATGTTTTTTCTCTCTCGATTAATTATTTAATACACGTATTATTAAAGTATAAATAATACAGCATATTTCAAAGGTTAATTATCATTAGATCAAATCGTAATCGATATAATTATACTAAGTACACTGGATCTATATATTTATGATGTAAGTTATTACAGTACATAATCTATATTTTACAAGTTTTATAACTTTATTGTAAAAATACAGGTTCAATGAGTAAATATTATATACATGAAGACTCCGATGAGCGGTTAGAGTTATTTATAATGTTAAACATAATGTTTAATCTTTAAAAAAAATATATATTTACCAAAGCATTATGATTGGATGATACGATTGGATCAGTCGTCATATTTGCCCGGCCTTCTTGCATTTGATCATCAGGCATTGAGGAATTGTGCGTATCGAAAGGAACAGACGGTGCAAACGTACTTTCTGGGATCCGTGAAGGATTGAACGGATATATGCCACACACATCAAATCCTTTACTTACGTTTTCAGGGGGGTAACAGTTTTAATGTATGCAGATTTGAAATAGCCTTGGGCCATTCCACTTAGTTACTATGTTGTTGGGTGAATCACTCATGAAATCCGTAAAAATACTTTATTGTATTCCGCTGAAAAGAAAA